GACGTATTCGCATTCTGTCGCTAATTATCTCTTCTGATAACAAACTTTTATCATGCCTAGGTTTGGACAATAAAACAGGTGGTGTCTTTCCAAAATCAATGACATCTCCGAAAGATAGTTAATGGTTTATTCTTTCCCTCTCTCTCTCTCTTGGGTGGCCTGATTACCATTATCATTCTGTATTGTAGGCCACTTGACCAATTTGAAACTTTCATTATTGCCATGGGCAGATGGCTATCTCTTATTCGCCGCCCCGTAACATAAATTAATTCGACAGATCCGATATCTTACGAATCTCCTATCTTCTGCGAGAAAAAAAAAATACTTTGTCTTTTTGCAAATGAAAATAAAATCTTTACCACTTTTCTTTCTTAAAAATATCATCGCTCAGTATGTCTTTTTGTGATAGCTTCTTATCGCCTTAATTATTTCTCGCTTTTCATTTTCACGCGACCGCTAAATAGTGTCACAAAGTGTAAGTATGTAAAATTATTAGGTTACAAATTTAAAAAAAAAGTTTTTTTTAAATTTTTTTTATATTTAAATATTATTTAAGTAAAATTTATGACAATGACGGCAAAAATAGCTACTTAATTTCACTGATTTAGTAAAAAATAATATATATATACCTAGTAATATATTGTTTCTCATGTAAGTACAAAGGACATGGGTGATTCAAAAGCTTACATCTTCTAGCGTTACATATTATTTTCATTTTACTGTAGGTTTTTTATTGGATTCTTTTAATTGCGTGTAGTACTAAGAGGGAGGTCTTTAGGTTAGAAGGCGTTTTATTTAATTACAATTTAAAAGAAGTTTAGGCTAGAATTCATTTTGTTTAACTACAATTTTAATTACAACTTTACCTGGTCTAACAGTAAAATTGTCTAATTGTTAGATTAAGCTTTGAAGAGTTGTATCTTAGCAATGATTAATGATATCTTACTGGGTGGAATTTTGCGAGCTTTTTATAACACTACTAGGCTCTACCTTGAGCAATTATAATGTATAATTTCTGTCCAAGCTTAACAGAAGAATAGTGACGAAATCGATCATAAACGAAAATGACATATTCATCATTAATTAAACTTAGCTAAGCATCGGCAGCTCATGAAGTATTTAAATATATATATATATATATATATATATATATATATATATATAATTTCAGTATCATATTTCAACTTATTCGATATGATCTTCGCCTTCTCTAACCTTCTAACTTTCTGTCCTGTAATAAGAATGTGCATCCTAGATTTCACGTACGATTTCATTTTCAAGTCATTTTTCACAGCTCTTTGAACAGTCATAGCTGGACTCTCTAACGTGATATGGATTGAGTTCGATCTTTCCTAATTGAAATAATGATCCTTCTTCCTGTTGTTAACACCTAATCTTCTTTTCCTCTCCACTGTCCAGTTTTTTTTAGAACTCATTCACCATTATCTTGGTATTTCTGGGATGGATTTGAAGATAGAAAGCCAGAGCATTCATTTGGTATTATTGCTGAAGGCCAGAATGATCTTTTTCCTCTGACCATTGCTCAATTAGGAAGGCAGTGTGTTCGACACAAAACGATTTTAACCTGTTCTCTTTCTATCTGAATAACTTAAATACATTTTCAGTGATTCTTACGATAAATGGATTCAAGATGGTTAAACAACTTATCTAAAAAAGGAAACTCAACTAGTTTAGTGTTTTTTAGATATTAAAACTTTTGTGGGGATGGACAATTATGCTCTTACACGATTTAGAACATTTTACTGTTACATCCTGTGTATACATATATCGCATTAGTATAAATGTGACTGAATATATATATATATATATATATATATATATATATATATATATATATATATATGACGATTGGCCTGACGATTGCATATAGCATGAAACAGACTGTCGCCTCTAAGCGTTGACTTCTATGTTCACTTTTATATTTACACACGCTCTATCTCTGATATTGAGCACTTTATCCCATAAATATAGCACACCTTAAGACTATATTTCTTTTTATATATATATATATATATATATATATATATATATATATATATATGTGTGTGTGTGTGTGTGTGTGTGTGTGTGTGTGTGTGTGTGCGTGCGTGTGTGCACCTATCTATATATTTATATCGAGTAAGTTCTAATGAATTAATATTTTTTTTTATTTAAAAATTTATATTATTTATTATATCAAAATTATGGTAGTGGTACACGGATATCCCCTTTTGAAAGTCCGGAGATTTTGATTGTCTTTCAATAATGAAACTATGTACTTTGGCAGGGTTTTGCACTGTAAGAAAATATTAAAAAAATAAATCTTTCAGACACACTGAGTTGTATATTAATTCAGCTAGCATGGCCGTCATCGGGAGAAAAATCCTTACTTGTTAGTACCGGTGAACAACAGAAGTGATAGCCCTACATCCGCGTCCTGGTTATGACGTTACACTACGTCTAGCAGCAAGGCTTCTGATCAAGAGGTTTTAAGGAGCGT